GCGATGGGCAATACTTTCAATGATTCATTTGTAACCATTTTTTCACAATCAAGTTGCATTTTCATCAAAATAACAGCGAGAACTTAATTGCGCACCTAATACCATTGATTTGACCTTAGGTGGTGTCACCAAGGTCAGGTCAAGGTCACGTCGATTTTTTTAAATGGAATTCCCTATTTTTCATTACATTTTCTTGTAGCTTACTTCGAGAACTTTTAAAAATACTGTAATAAAGTTATTTTTTATTAAGTACTTTCCGAGTTATAATGCTTGAAAATTACAGTACAGCCGGCATTAGCAATACTCAAGATGTCCAATTGACAGCTAAAACTTCATGAATATTGTTCAGGATCATATTCTGGATAACATTTATCAAGATCAAGGCCATTGGAGATTATTCCTCTTATTTTATTTTTTGCAATAAAAATTCATTTTTACGTAAAAATGAAAATAAGAGATACAATCACCAATGGCCTTGATCTTGACAGATGTTATCCAGGACATGATCCTGAACAACATTCAAGAGGTTTGTAGCCGCCGGTTGGACATCTTGGGTAATGCTAATGTCGGAGGTATTGTAACTTCCAAGCTTTATAACTGAAAAAGAGTTTAATGAAAATGAACTCAATTATAGTGTTTTGAAAAGCTCTCGAGATAAGCTACAAGAAAATGTAATGAAAAATAGGGTGTTCCATTTAAAAAAATCGACGTGACCTTAACCTGGCCTTGGCGACGCCACTCAAAGTCAAATGGTACTGTCTTATGTCCTCCTCCGAACCAAACAACTTTTGTTTGAAACATTTTTCCGTATCTACTATAGTTTTCGAGGAATCTTAATGCATTATTTAAAATGAGACACCCTGTATTTTTGTAGATTTTCCTGAAAGTGTATTCTTATAGCACTTCATAACCCAACTTGTGATAAATGTAAACACACCATTAATTTTGAAATCTATCATCGTTTACTAGAAACAATGAGTTTCTTTGCAGAGCGTTTAAACGACACATTTTATTATTTTTGGAAGGTTTCCCAAACTTTTCTGGATAAATAAGCATTATTCTATGAATGTACGGACTTTCAAAATGACTACTGTATAGGTTTTAATAGTCCTTTCACGGCCAATGTACCCTAATTTATGTACCCTAATGAATTCTCGCAATTTATTGCTACTATAAAACGATACCCTCATATGATCACTCTTCAATATATCAAACTTCTCAGCAACACAACGACCGAAAGGAACACTGAACCACGAAGGCTGCACTACATCAACGCTATCATCATTAACAACATTCTTCCTATTACTAGCCATAATAATGTTCTTCAAACGGTTGCTAATACTCTCAAATATAAAATTCAATGGATAATTGAATGTTCTCTCAACAATAATTGGTCATTTTTAGACTCCCTCCTTTCACTTTGATAATTTCTGTTTCATAATTAAAGTATTAACAGATATTATTATAATTATATTAAAAATGAATTCTTCCTACGGTTGTTACAAGTATACACACGAATATTTTCAATAATTACCTGAAAATAAATTTGGCTCAATACGCTTACTATTAACGTCTACTATTATACTTATTTCAGAAAAAGCTATGAAAAAAAAGAAATAATCAGCTTGATATCACGCCAACTAATTACGTTTCTCACTTATAAACATGGGCCCGTATTCAGAACGCGTTTACAACGATATTAAAGCGCTGACATGCTACTTTACATTATGCATATTATAGAAAGTCGAAGATAAAAACATATTCAGAATACGGACCATAAGATAATTTCCATGACAAATTAATTTTAAATAATTAATGCTTTGTTAAGTATTACGTTTTGACATGATTTATACTACTGTGGATTAATGGGAGGGGGGTTTACTGTAATTATAATTTATTAAAAATTATATGTCATCTAAAATGTCCTTTTACCTCTCGATATACGCTCGAACGGCCGAGAAAACATTTTCGGTCGCTTCACGCTCAGTGAAACGCTGTCGCTGTCTCGTTCGCTCTTAGCACGCCCGAATCCCCACCGAAGTTGGCCGAAGCGAGAATGCGCTGAGCCGTACATGGACATAGACTCATGCTTGTGTGTGTGACTAGTGGTCGCGCTAGGCCGCCGACTGATGGCGTTAGTCACGATGTCGTAAATCGTCCCGGAATTGGCATCCTTGCATGGGTCTCCCGCGTCGCCGCCGGTAGGGTGAGAGGCTGGGGCGTCATTTCCGGCTGCGCGCACACACACGCACGCACGCACGCACGCACGCACCCACGCACACAAGAGATGCAAATCCGACCGAGCAACCTCCACGCGGTACATCTTGGATAATTTTAATGCCGGCGGGATTTAAACTTTAAAGATTCATAACTCAGGAAGTTCTTATCGGAAAAGAGTTTATGATATGTGTTTTGAAAACGTCTAAACATAACCTACAAGAATCTGTAATAAAAAATATGGAGTTCCATTAAAAAAAATTTAATTGACCTTGACATGACTTTGACAACGCCATTCTAGGTCAAATAACTACTATCGTTAAATTCGTCTTTTTAAGCTTTACAACTTTTATTTGAAACATTCTTTTCTAAAATGTATCGTTTATGAGATATTTGGGTGTATCCAGACTTTGGCCCACCCTGTATAATGCACATACATGGGATGCCGAATAAATATTCATTGTATATATGAAGGAAGATATCTGCTATGTACTTCTCTGTGCACGCATACATAAACATAAAATATTTGGCAAATGTACACATGTATATTGCATGGATGTATAATGCACAGCGCATTGCATTTACATATGGTATATCTAATGTATGATATCCAATGTACGTCTCTTATATATCACTGTATGTGTATGGGATATGTCATATCCTCTGATGTATATGCAATGTAAATACATTGGATGTCAAAATATTATTATACCTAGGCAATAAACGCATTACATGCAATATGTACCTCTTGTCATAACACTTCTAATATACAGGGTGAGTCATTTTAATCTATGGACCCGAATATCTTTCAAATTACAGTATCTACAAAAAAATGGTTTAGATAAAAGTTGACCAGGACAGAGGGGGTCATTTAATTGTACCATTAGTTTTGACCTTGAGGTCAATTTTGAAGGTCATTTCAAGGTCACGATGTTTTTTTAAATGGGACACCCTATTTTTGACTGCGGATTTCGAAAGAGCGGAAAATTTTACATCAAACTTGTCTTATGAAAAAATTGTTTTTGCGACCTTGGAAAGATAAAAAATGAAGGTCAAATACCTGAAAAACGATCTGGTGTACTTTTTCTGAAATGACGTGGTTTTCTGGGTAACACAAATGTGCATAATGCTTGAAACAAGTCAATGAATTGTAAAAGTGTAAATCACTTTGACTAGCTTGACCTTGAGGTCAATTTTCAAGGTTGTTTGAGGCTCATAACGCATTTTTTGATTAGTAAACCCTATTTTTGACCGCAGAACCTGTTTTTTGACAATGGGCTCTTAAACAATGGCACTTTTTACATGAGCGTAGGGATTTTTTAGTTTTTCGACCTTACCTTTTGAAGGTCATATCAAGGTCAAAAGCACTTTCATCTTACTTTTAGCGTTACCCGGAAACAACGACGTGGACGTAGTAAGTTCTATTTCCTTTAGAGTGCTTGATTATCGTGAGTCCCCTTGCCTCTCACGTCGGGGTGCTTGATTATCGTGAGTCCCCTTGCCTCTCACGTCGGGGTGCTTGATTATCGTGAGTCCCCTTACACTTTTACAATTCATTGACTTGTTTCAAGCATTATGCACATTTGTGTTACCCAGAAAACCACATCATTTCAGAAAAAGTACACCAGATCGTTTTTCAGGCATTTGACCTTCATTTTTGACCTTTCCAAGGTCGCAAAAACAATTTTTTCATAAGACAAGTTTGATGTAAAATTTTCCGCTCTTTCGAAATCCGCAGTCAAAAATAGGGTGTCCCATTTAAAAAAACATCGTGACCTTGAAATGACCTTCAAAATTGACCTCAAGGTCAAAACTAATGGTACAATTAAATGACCCCCTCTGTCCTGGTCAACTTTTATCTAAACCATTTTTTTGTAGATACCGTAATTTGGAAGATATTCGGGTCCATAGATTAAAATGACTCACCCTCTATGTAGGAAGATTGTAATTATTATTTGTTACTTCATATACATATTTATTATTTTTATTCCTTAATAAAACTTTATAAATGTATTTTATAAGTTATTGTGTCATTTTACGTCTTATTTGTATGCATTATTTGTAAATTTTTCATGAGCCGAACATACCCTCAGTCTACCTATGAGTAGCCATATATCCCACCCTTATGGAATATATGGCAAAAATGCAAGGGTTTCAAAAAGTTTATTTTTTAATACGAAAAATAAATATTTTGGATTTCTAATATTTTTTTCATAGTAATAGACAGTTTTTAGTACAAAGTTTTTACTGATATAGTTCGTTTATTTTAAACATAGTAAATAATACTTAATAAATTAAGTTTTTGATAGGTGCGGTGTATATACCTGAGTTACCCTATTTCTCATTTGTTTTCTTATAATTTTCTATTGTTTAATGATTTTCTATTATTTAATAATTATTAGTTGTAATTATATTTTATTGTATTAGTGACTATGTTAAGAATGTGTAAGATGATTGAAAATACGTTTCGTCAACTTTCATCATCGTTATTTCTTGAATAATCCTACTATTTTGTGTGACCTATGGTACCCCGGGTATGGAGTATCATGAGTCATTTCTTAAAAAAATATATTTTTATTTTTTTCTTAAGAACTAATAAATATGTATTTCCCTGATAGAAATTTCCTGTCAGTGCCACGATACTGGCCAGCGCCACGATACTTTGCCACTGCTTTGCTACGCCATAACCTCTTTAAAAGAACTGACATGGTCCGTAAAAGGCCTAATCTTGCGCCTGATATGGACCTGGTATGGAAATAGCTTAGCATTCGCAGTAAAATTTATTAAATAGTCTAACGTAGCCCAGGACAGGCCCAGGCTCGCGCCTCCCCTCATGGGGCACGGCCTTGCCGAGGCGAGGGGCTCCCCGGGCATTTTTTCCCGCGATCGGGGCCGCCGTCAGTACTTGCTGGCGAAGGCAATCGGTCGGGGATGGAGCGCTCGGGGGTCTAACAGTGCACCGTACGGACTCCTCCATCATTTGGAGAGGTCTGTACACCGGATACAGTACCCCAAGGGAGTCTCCGCCCTCTTCGGAGGGTGGGGACTCCTGAGGGATCCGGACGGATGAAAGGACTTTCAGGACGGGTCCCCAACGTGCCGGTAAGGGATGGCGACCCCGACTACAAACGACTAGTGGCACGGCACCGTCAGGGGGAGTGAGGTTTGCTCCCTTCCCGTGCGTGATGTGGGGTTCGGTCCTCACTGGGTCCGAGCTCCCGTGCGGCCCTCTCCACCTCCCTCGGGGGGTGGGGTGGTTCCCTCGTGATCCCGAACCCAAAGTAATTGAGCGGTATTCCCGCATGGCGAGTCGGCCCGACTCAGAAGCCGTTAGAAGTGGAACCGAAGTGCGCGTCTAGGAAACCCCAACAGAGGAAGAAAGGGGGAGGCGGCGGGGCGCCCGAAAGTCCCCTGGATAAGAGGGGGGCTAGTGGCGGGGCGAGGAGCGAGGAGTCGTTGGAGGCGATTCTGACGCAGCTCCTCCCCCGTCTACTACGAGACATGGAGTTGACCCCAGTTTCAGTTCAGGCGTCCCCACAAAAGAGGCAGGCAACGAGGGTAGGTGCAGCCAAAGAGGACGGTGCCTCAATGTACACCCAGGCGCTGACGGGCGTTGCCCCTAAGAGCAAGGCCGGATCGGTCGGCGGGGGCCCCCAGCCGGTTCGACAGACGAGGAGAGGGACTGCCGGAAAGAGCGGGGCCGGCGCTGGGGGGAGGGTGGCCAAATTGCCTCCTCCCCTTCTGCTTCTGCCTCCGCCCCGGCAAGAGCGACGACTACCGCGACGGCGACATTGGACCCTCTTCCTGCTGGGAGCGAGGCCCGCAGAGCGAGGGACGAAGACGAGGATGAGCCCTTCGTCGAAAGCAAATCGGTGAAGAGGAGAGCGAAACGGGCGGCCGCCAAGGCCAGAAAGGCCGAGGCTACGAATCAGTATCCACAGGAACCCTTCTTAAGCTGCGGTTGCCCTCCTTGGCGGCCGTAGTGATAACATGTGCGGACCCGCTTAAACTGGCGGAGGCGGTCCTCAATCTCTTTAAAGGACTTGGAGATCGAGGACTTGAGGCCCAAAAGGGCCATCACCGAGGCCCTTATATGAGAGGTAAGGAGCCCCGGGGGCGGCGAGAAGGCAGATCGTCTAAAAGGGAAGCTGGAGGGGGTCCTCGGCGGGAGGGACGATGTGAAAGTGTCCCACCCGTCGAGGACCGCGGAGTTACGTGTTTCGGGCCTGGACGACTCGGCTATCTCAAAGGAGGTGGCCGTGGATCTCGCCGAAATCGGTGGATGTGCCCCGCAGGAGTTCCGGGTGGGGGAGGTCAAAAAGTCCCCCAACGGCGTGGGCTCCTGCTGGGTCAGGTGCCCGGTGGCTGCAGCAAAGATGCTGCTGGCCGCTCCACGTGTAAAAGTGGGGTAGCCGAGCTGCCGGGTCACGCTGCTCCCGATGAGACAGATGCAATGCTTCCGGTGCCTGGAACCAAGCCACACTCAGGCCCGGTGCACGAGCACGACGAACCGGTCGAGGTGCTGCTATAGATGCGGGGGCCTCGGACACATGGCACGCGAGTGCCGGGCGGAGAAGGTCCGATGCCCCGCG